CCCCAACCGGTCGCCCCCGGGCTGGGCTGGACTCCCAGACCCATCCTCCCCTGCCCAGTTTCTTCCAGCCGTCTGCAGCCCTTCCCCTCTCGCTGCATGGGAGGTGCAGGACCCCCACACCCACCCCTGGTAGACGGGTGGCGGGCGGATGGGCTTTGTAGTCCCGAGGCGTCTGGCCCAGAAGCATGGGACTCGGGAGACTGAACTCCTTCGGCAGGAATCGGGCGACGACGAGTACAAGGGGGACCAGTCGGACAGCGAGGACGAGGTGGACTCGGACTTCGACATCGACGAAGGGGACGAGCCCAGCAGCGACCAGGACGACGCGGTGCCCAAGCGGAAGCGGAGGGTGGTCACCAAGGCCTACAAGGTGAGAGACCCTCCCTCCCGGGCAGCGCCAGCCCCAGAGCGGCTCGCCTTCAGTCGGGATAGAGCTGGATGGGGCCCTGGAGGTCATCTAGTCCAACTCCCCTGCTCAAGCAAGAGACCTTGACCTAGACCGGGGGGGGGGGAGAGAAAGGTCTTCAAACTTGGCCCTTTTTATGGCTTGTGGACTTCAACTCCCAGAATTCCTCAGCCAGGCACGTGTTCTTCCAGGTCCCTAAAGACTTTTCACCCACTTAGTGACATGCCACTGAGTGAGTCTGAACCTTTTGTAGGAACCCATCAAAAGCCTGAGGCTGAAGAAACCCGAGGCCCCGCCCAGCAGCTCGCAGAAGACCAGAGAGGAACGATCGGCCCCCGCAGAACTGGAAGACACGGTGGACAGTGAGTGTCCCAGTGGGGGGTCTGCTGGATGGGGGGGAGGGTCAGACACTTCCTTCTCTCCCAAGCCTGGCCTGGAGCCCCCTTGCTCAGCCTCCAACCTCCTCCTCCTCCTCCTCCCTCCCCCCGAACAGGCCGGAAACACATGCGCCAGTCCACCACTGAGCACACTCGCCAGACGTTTCTGCGCCTCCAGGAGCGCCAGGTGCAGTCCAGGCGCAAGAAGGGGGCCGGCCCCAGCTACGACAGACCCCTGACCCAGGAAGAGCTGCTGAGGGAGGCCAAGATCACCGAGGAACTCAACTTGCGCTCTCTGGAGACTTACGAACGCCTGGAGGCGGATAAGAAGAGGCAGGTGCAGAAGAAGCGGAAGTGCCCGGGCCCCACCATCCGCTACTACTCGGGGACGATGCCCCTCATCTCCGAGCTGGGGTACAAGGAGGAGAACGTGGACGTGGAGGGGTAAGCGCCCCCCTCCCCTCGTGCCCAGCGGGCAGCCGCTTTGCCCAGGACCTAAATACGGCTGTCTCACTTAGACACAGAAGTGGGTCATGAGTCAAGGGCTACCTACACCAGGGTGGCATTTAGGGCCCCTGGCTGCGGTTGTGGGTCCTGCCCACAAAAGGGGACACACACACACACTTCCAAGACACCAGCCGGGCTGGGGCCTGAGACCTGATCTCTGCTCCTTTCTCCGTCTCTTAGGTTAGAGCAGGAGGGTCTTCTGGAGCCCCCCTCCGCTGCCACGCCCGCCGCAAGATGTTCCCGCACCTTCGTCACCTTCAGCGACGACAACACCTTTGAGCGCTTCTTCCCCAGAGCCCCGCCCCCCAGGCTGCCCGTCAAGGAGATCTGCCCCGTCACCCACAAGACCGCCATCTACCGGGACCCCGTCACCGACATCCCCTACTCCAACATCCGCTCCTTCAAGATCATCCGCGAGGCTTACAAGAAGTACATCACCGCCCACGGGCTGCCCAGCGCGGGCGCCTCCGCTGCCCTGGCGGCCGGCTCCCCGATGCCCGAGCCCGGCCTCCGGCCCACCCGGCAGAAGATCATCATTAAGCAGAGCGTGCCGGCCACCTGAGCTCCTGACGGCCTCTCCGTTTCCGCCAAAGAGCCTCCTTGTCGTCCCTCGCGGGAGTCAACAGAGCTCCTTTGGCGCTCTCAAGAGCCACATTCCGAAGTTTCTAGACTTGTTGGGGGGGGGTTAGGCAGTTTCCAAAAAGTTTAAGGGGGGGGGCACGGCTGAACCTGCCACCTACCCCAGCTGCAGTTTCACAGCCGTTCTTCAGTGAAAGTAGGAGCCAAAATATTTTCTTTTATTTCCAGTTTATTCCTTTCCAGTTGGCTGTCCTAGAGTGAAAATAGGGCCCAAAGGATTTCGTTTTATTTCTGGTTTATTCCTTTCCAATTCGCTGCGTATCCAGATGGTGGAACTGCTCCTGAGCATAGGCAGAGGTCCGATTGTATCGTTAACAAATCGGACACGTACCACGCTTGTGCCAGCTCGTTCACCATTCTCCAACAGGGCACTGATTCTTTCCTAAAAGACCCCTTTATATATATATATATTTTCCCCTCTTTATTATGACTCTTGCTTATTTATTTTCTGTGTTTTTATGCCTCTTCTGGGTCTGTTGTAGAGAGCGGCCCCTTCACTCTTCCAGGCTGTACTGAAAAGGGATTGCCTTTTGGAGGGAGGCTGGATCAGGGCAGGGAAAGTTGTAATCCCAACGATGGTTTCATTCTCATTTGCTAGTGTCTTTTTTTTACAATAAAATAAAATGATAAATACATAGCCGCATAGGAAGTCCTTATTCTTAATCGAACTGAAACTGTTAAGGCTCGAAGAGATCTCTCGGCCAGCGTTCCTGGGCCGCCTCACTTTTAGGAATAATTTCCTGAGGATCCGACTGAGAGGGTTCAGGCTTACTGGCAGGCGCAGAGATTTCGGGTGTGAGAAAGATCCCGAGCAGGCAAGGCCTGGCAAAACGTAAACTCTGATTTCCTCATTTGCTGGTCAGACCAGGTCACTGGAAGTTGCTCTCCCAATAACCCCATGGGCGAATGAAAGAACGTAACGTTTTATCAGAAATATTTTATGTGAGAACTCAATTAGCTGGATCGACAGCCTTACTCCTGCTGTTTCAACACTTCCTCGCTCACACGCCTGTGGGAAACAGCCTGGTCAGAAAGCGTAGCCCCGTTCGCGGCTGCAGGATGCCATGCAGAACCTCCAAGGTCAGGGGCACTGTATCTGTGAAAACTAAATGCAGACAGCGAGCGAGGGCTGTGGTGTCCGAGTCCTGCCTGCAGTTTTCCTGGAGGCCTCTCTTAGCCGATGGAGAAAGAGAGGTACTGATTTAGACAGGCCGGGGGGCCGTTTTGATCCCTTGGGGAGGGGGCTCTTTTGCTCTGAGCAAAACCAGGGAGGCTTGGCCATCAGTGGAGACTCCACGTTCTGGGGCAGTCTGCCCCTATAAATCACTTCAGGATGATGATTGCTCAGATTTTCAGAGTGTCGATGGGAATGGGGGTGGGTATGAAACCACGCATAGGTTTTTTTAACCACTTTACAACGATGGGTGGATGGATGGAGAAAGAAGGATAAAAGGGAGAAAGGGAAGGAGAAAGGGAAAGAAGGAAAAAGGAAAGGGAGGGAGGGAGGAGAAAGAGGGAAAGAAGGGAGGAAGGGAAGGAGAAAGAAAAAAGGGCAGGAAGGAAAGGGAAAGAAAAAAAGGGAAGGAGGGAGGAGAAAGGGAAAGAAGGAAAAAAGGGAGGAAGGGAAGGAGAAAGGGAAAGAAGGAAAAAAGGGAGGAAGGGAAGGAGAAAGGGAAAGAAGGAAAAAGGAAAGGGAGGGAGGGAGGAGAAAGGGAAAGAAGGAAAAAAGGGAGGAAGGGAAGGAGAAAGGGAAAGAAGGAAAAAAGGGAGGAAGGGAGGAGAAAGGGAAAGAAGGAAAAAAGGGAGGAGAAAGGGAAAGAAGGAAAAAGGAAAGGGAGGGAGGAGAGAGAGGGAAAGAAGGGAAGGAAAAAGGGCAGGAAGGAGAAAGGGAAAGAAGGGAAAAGGAAAGGAAGGAAGGAGAAAGAGGGAAAGGAGGAAAAAAGGGAAGGGAAGGGAGGCAGCCTCTCTCTCTCCTGGGACGGCCGTTCCCTCC